AGCAAAGCACAGTAAAATAGTGTAACACAAAAAAAGAAGAAATTAAACAAAGAAAATAGTTAATATCTAAAAAACGTGAAGATTTTTTTAGTTTTAATTCATTTGTGTAAAGATAAAATTGATGATAAATCGATTTAGATCAGTATAACGCTGATTAAAAAAAACCTCCAGTAGGCCGCCCTAGAATAAATGAGTCAGCACTTCAAAAGCGCCGGGAAATATCACTCGTGATGAACACCCTTGAGTAAACAGTCTTGGACTTTATAGCTCTCACGTGGACCATTACTCTGCAATGTCACCTTTCAGTCATTTTTGGAATGGCTACGTATATTTCGATCACATCGCTTCCTTAAAAGCATACCTATGTGACCAGGTTTTAATGTGGCTTGTTTGTGCTCTGCTTATAAAATACAAATGGTCGAACTTGGAAGATTATTTGTATTATTTTTCATTTTAATTTTGTTTTTTTTTTTTAAGTTACGTATTAGTGTATTATTATTACCGGTTCTTAAAAACCCGTTTATTTATTACAAATAATAAAAAAAATATATTTTAGTGGTGTTTCCTTATCCATAGAACTTGGAGATAAAACAACAATTAATTCCCGTGTTATGTATACAGGGAAGGTTTAACAAAATTTAATTGGTAATACTCTATATTAGTGTTCAACTGACAGTTAACTTTTTTTAATATTGTGTAGTTTTTCTACACCTACATTTACATTATCTTTTCTACGCACAGATTACAGAACGAAAAAGCAGATCATTTCGGTCTAGTGAACGGATATAATTTCATATCCATTCTAATCACGAATATGAAATCCACCAATTACATTTTATATTTGGAGATCGGGGCTATTTGTATTTTTTAGAATTTTAAATAATAATTGTCAATATAGTTTTTAGTTATTGAGATTAAATATAATTAAAACTGAGTGATTATTGTGAAGAATTCATAAATAGTAGCATTCCACAAGATATTCGTCTATATTTACAAATAAATCGTAAATTTTATTAAATTTATCTAAATCAATCTAGTTATCAGTATTAAAAAACATTTTTCGTTAATGCAGAGACAGATTAATTAAAATATATTTGTTTAAATAATAGTTATTTCTCCTAATAACTTCCAAATTAATTTTTGTACATTTTCGTTAGTGGGTATTAGAAAATACTGTAGAATTTGAGTGGATTTTCTGTCTGTAGGTATGCACAAAATACTATTTTTAATTTTTTTTAAAGTAACACTTTTTACCCAAAAATTTCTCTTATTTTAAAGAAAATATTTTTTTTTTACCAAAGAAGGGTCAACTTCTACTGTAAAATGTACAATAACTACAAATCTTCTATTCGGTTTGAATTTACAGTTTCTGCCTGAATTGTAGTTTTCCAATAACTGATGATTTTTATAGTTTTGAAACGATGTTGAAGATCCTTCAATATAATACATAAAAATATAGAAAGCCAACACTGGCACGTATAAATTTTAAGAGCCAACTCTGGCATGCATAGAATTTCTCGAAGACATTACGTAATCCGCGTCTCGGGACAAGTAGCCAATAGAAAGCCATCATGTGGATAGTCTTTCAAGGTGATTGGTCCGAAGCATCGTAGCAAGCCAAGCGCTTTATGTGCGGTTTAGTCGCCACCGGCATTGTAAGTCAGAAGCCACTTTTCACTCAAACCAACCACCAGGGCCGCCGAGAGCCAGGTGGGGCACCGGAACAATTTTATAAAAAAAATTAAGCCTTTTCGATATCACATTTCTAAAAAAACCGTTTAATAATTTCATCCGCTTTTATCTTTCCATGGGTTTCCATTTAAAAATTAAAAATAAATTTCGATTTACTGTTATTTTCGAAAAACCGGAAGTAAGCCATTACGTCACAAACCAGTTGAAGTATTTGACAGTATTTATTCCAAGCTTTCACACAAAAAAGTTTTCATTCCGATATCTCAATTAATAAGGAAGAGAAGAGTGGGTGTAATTATTAAACGGTTTGCTAATAATAAAAATCTTAGATACGCCACTGGTACACTGTAAATGGGTCTCAATGGGAACTTTGAAGCTTACAAAGATTTTATACATTCCCATATTTTTTCCATAAACGAATTTATAGTAACATATTAAAAAAATATATTATCCACTATGACGGTTATTTTGACTGCTGACAGAAAATTGTCCCTGAAATTAAAATTTTCAATAAAAAAGGGTGTAAAAATAAATTGCGATTTTCTGTTATTTCCGAAAAACCGGAAGTAAGTCATGACGTCACAGACCAATTGAATCCAGTATTTGTTCCAAGCCTTTAAACAAAAAAGTTTTTGTTCCAATAACTCAATTAACAACGAAGATAAGGATGGAATTAATAACCGGTTTGGAGGCAAAATAACCTTAGCAGTTAAAGTCGATGACACACACAAAAAAATAATAAACGGTTTGCTAATAATGAAAATGCTTAGATACGCCACTGGTGTACTGTAAGTGGGTCTCAATAGGAATTTTGAAGCTTACAATGATTTTATAAAAATCATACATTCCCATATTTTTGTCCATAAACAAATTAATAGTAACATGTTTAGGAAAAATATTATTCAATTTGGCGGCCATTTTGACAGCTGACAGAAAATAAAAAAATTGGTTTCGATTTTAAATTAAAAAATAAATTGCGATTTTCAGTTATATCCGGATAAATCGGAAGTAAGCCATGACATTGCAGACCAATTGAATCCAGTATATAAAAGTATCTGTTAGAAGCTTTTAAACAAAAAAGTTTTCATTCCGATATCTCGCTTAACAATGAAGATAAAAGCGGATGGAATTATTAAACAGTTTGATAGTTTAAATACGCCACTGGTTTACAGTAAATGGGTTTCAATGGAAATTTTGAAGCTTACAGAGATTTTTTAAAGATCATACATTCGTTTTTTTTCCATAAACGAATTAATAGTAATATGTCTAAAAAAAATATCCAATATGGCGGCCATTTTGACAGCTGCCAGAAAATTTTCAATATACGATTATTATACAAAAATTTCCCAGAAATTCAAATTTGCAATAGGTCCTCTTCTTCCTATCTATTTTTCAGGAAATTTTCGGTTTAAATATGTCCTGACATTATGCAAAAAATGGGCGGAAGCACCATCTAGCTGCAGCCACATTTTTCGACTAATATCCAAAAGACGGTTCCAGGAATCTATCTTAAAAATTAAAAAAAATCTTTTTTTTTAAATGACCAAAAAAATAGGGCCTCACCAACTGTCTTCCTACCATTCCACCCTAAATGTTTAAAGTTTAAAGATCATCGGTTTTGTCGATCTACAGTAACACGAGTAAAAAGCTTTGGTGTCGCCGAAATGCTAAGCACCAAAATAATGGCGGCCAATAGATAATAGGCACAGAATACTACGACTTGTTACGCGTTCTCTCTCTCCTTGTCTTAGGTTTCAAGGAACGCTTCATCTCCTTCAATATCGTACCCACTGATCTGTATTATCAGTGATCGTACCTCTATGATCATATTAAGGCGATTTTAAATCAGTTACTTGGTCTTGAATATGATTGACTACACTGATATAAATCAAAAACAATGACGTCATATTGAATATAGTCTTGAAATGGTCAAGTTTAACATGACTACAGTAAAAACGTAGTCATCACAGGTATGAAATGTCAAATGAAATGACAAATGTAAAACTTTTACTTTTTAATTATTAAATTATTGTTTGGTTGTGTTATTTGTAAAATCGAAAGAAAGGCTGCGTATAGGGTTGCTAGATTTATGGAAGGGAAAAGCGGGATAACGATGACGACAAAGATCAGGTTAAAAAAACAGGTATTTTTATAAGATAAGATCCTTTCTTTGTGGAGATCTAAAAAAAGTTCTCCACTTATCTTTTTATAAACTATCAGGTCCTTTTTTTGAGGATATTCTGAAAAAAGGTCAAACATTTCTTTATCTTTAACTTTGGATTGAAAAAGCGTAGCATTTAGTTTAAATGTGGGTCATTTTCGTACTTTGGCGTAACGCGTGCCAACAATTTCGCCTAAAGCGAGCCGTCTGGCAACCCTAGCTTAGTACCTAAATATGAACGCAATAAAAGGTTTCTGTAAATGAAAAGCCAATTTATTTTTGAAGATAGCCAAGATTTACTGATGAACATGGCAAAAGGTTTGATAAAATTTCTGACGCCAAAGACCCTATAACACCAATTAGCAACTACAACACCAATATTCTCTTCATCTGTGATCAGTACACAAAACAAATATTTATTAACTGACTTCAAAAAAGGAGGAGGTCCTCAATTCGTCGTAATATATTTTTTTACGTATGTTCAGCGATAATTCTTTAACATGGTGTCCGGTTTTAATGTTTTTTTTTTTTTGTTAGAGTGGGTGGTCCCATATCAATTTGGTCAAAATCTAATAATTGAGTCCATTAGAAAATCCTCAAACTCTTCATTTTTTATGTAAGTTTAGTGGTAATTCTTTACAACCTTGTCCGATTTCTATGATTCTTTTTTTTGTTAGTAAAGGGACAACTTAGAGGTGGTCCCCCTTTAAATTTGGTCAAGATGTGGTGATGGCATTTTTTAATATTACTTTTATAACTTGTTTATCCTTACAAATTCAAAACCAAATCCTAACTACAATACATAATACACAAAAATTCGCGATTGACAATGTCATGCGCATTGTCAAGTTAGTGTCAATATAAATCAAACATTTTTAAATCAGATAATATAACGTCATTATAATGACGTAAGCACCTTGACCACACTTGACTTGGTCACATTTCTAGTAACTGATTTAAAATCGCCTTTAAGCATACAAGAAAGAACAATGCAGAAAAGAAACATAGGGCTCGTTCCACCATAGAGATACTCTGAGAAAACATAACTATTCACAGTACACATAGCTCTGCGGTGTACTGTAAAGAGTTTTTTTCTGTATTATTCTCTCTTCTGTGATGTCAGTAATAGATTGTCATTTTAAATTTGTCAAATATTTCGGTATTTTTTATTGTCGAGCTTAACGTAGAAATCGAAAAATATTAAAATGTTAGTAGCCGATCTTTTAAAGTTGACGAACATTGTGTTCAGGAGGAACGTCACTGAGGTTACTAACCGAGAGAAGATAGCGAAGATAAAAAAGCTGCAAAAACAATACCAATGTGCAGATGGGCAACCAGTTTGGCTAAAAACACCTACGGACAAACTCCTATATAGAGCCACTATTGCAGGATGTTTAGTTGGAGTTGGAATGGGACTATATACATTAATATGGGAAATATCAATTAAAAAACGTTTTTTTAATGACTAAATTCATGTAGGTATGTTGTTAAAATTACAGATTGGGTATTTGGTGTTCGCCATTTGTTGTATTTTATTAAATAACCATGTAATTGATTTTTAAAATATATTTGGTCACATTGAGGTATGGTAGTATGACTTTTTTTAGCATTTTGATCGTATTCAGTGTTCATATTGAAAATTTAGTAAACATGAAAAAATCAGTGAATATATTCGAAAACAAAAATTAAGAAATACTAATTTAAATTAAAGAGAAAGAAAATACCAAAAGGAATAAGTGCACATTATTAGCATCAGGCATCTTAATGGAAACTATTTTATTGAACATTATTGGAACGTATGCTGTGAGTTATAGAAATGTTTTCTCTTCCTCTACCTTGTTTTAACTTTCACTATTGCTTTTAGAAACCAACATTTTACTCAACTCACTTATTTACGATACCACCTCAACAATTTGGTTATTAGCGGAAATTACAGAATATTGATTATATTCCTTGAACTGCATTTCTGGAAAATGGCTGATAAGTGGGCTGGAATATTATTGTTTCTTACGTTTTGGTATAGCGGGCATACCACTAAGACGTGTTCGACACTTCACACGTGGAGTAAACAAGTCTGGCCCAGACGTAGTCTTGCAATAGCAATTTGTGTAGATGTCATAATATTCTTCGAACTAAAACTACGCATTGATTTCAAACGATTTAGAAACTTTATTTTGTCTTAATTTCATTTCATTGTTCTGCGATAATTAGGTTTGAGTGTGGAGTCTCAGTGGACTGTTTTGCTTACTTGTTTATTGTTTAAGACTTTAGTAGAGAGCTACTGGAATCAGTTATGATGACGAGTTGATTTGAAGAAGTTGTTTTAGCATAGAATAATTATCTGTAAATGGCTTGTAACTGAACTACATCTGCTACGAACGATGGGGTGTTTGAAGATTTTGTTTTGGATGCATTAGTGTAGATTGAAAGGAAATTAGGATAACAGTAAAAAATATATTGGAAGGGATTTCTGATTAAATATTGGTAATTGTTTTACTAAAAGAGATAGTTACGTGTTTATATTTACAGATGGGGTTAGCTTCGGTGGAGGTGAGGTTGGAGGCGAATAGAATTATTAAGATATCGTCTGTTTATTTCGTGCAATAGTAGTTACTTTGTGTTTGAAGAATATGCGTCTGAGACTGCAGTTAGACGAGATACTTATGTTTCTGTCTTAAATTTAAAGGAAGTTTTGACTGATGCCTCGTTTTAATTTAATAAAATCTAATTGGTTTTATTTTGGTACCATTGGAGGGACGTACTATCTACCGCTCGCAAAGGTATCTTGTTGATAAGGGGCTTAAAGGATTGGGTAGTGGGTGATCTAGAAAAACTTATTGAGAAAAACGAGTTTGAAAGCGTAGTTTTTCCTATCGGTCGTAGACATTCGAAGCTGAACTAAATAAAAATGTGAATCATTGTGGTCAGTGGAAGGGTCGGTGAGTGGATATTATTGAAATATCCACAGTACAAAGCCAGATTATCAACTGTTTTTTAGTAAGATTGTAAGTAGTTAATTTTCTGGATGGCATCAAGAATGATTAGTATTAAGTTATTTTTGGCCTTATACATTGTCAGGAGGTTTCATGGTAGCTGTCAGAAGCAGTAGGTGACGCAAGATTATGCCAAGTTGTCTTGAGAGATGTAACACTTGTCAATTTAATGCACAATCCGAGTTTTAACAGGATAGTAGGGTATGGTGTGCTTCTTGTTTGTTAGTACATATAATTGTAATACGCTAGTTGTGATGATGTATTTATGGTTCCACTGACAATTAAAGTGACAGTAGATTTTTTGAGTGCGTTTTGTTCGTTTTGTTTACCTAAATTATATTTCACTTTTATAAATATATTCCTAAAGTAAGTAGATAACATGCATCAAATATACAATCGTTTAGTTACCAATTACATACCTTTAAACTATTTTTTGACTTGTAAACAATATTTAGAAATAAACTTGAAACAGTAAAAACGTATATGTCAAATTTATTGATGTTTTTGTTAAAAGTTTGGTTAGAATTAAATGTCAGTGAAACGAAAATGACATCACACCGAACTAGCGTATTTTAAATGTGTTAAAATGGATCTTGTTTTTATTTGATCTATTTGTAATGTTTATTGTGCATAAATTTGTATTTGCATTGTTTAGAAGAGAAGAGTGAACCTCACGTATCACTGATAAATGTGAAAGAATTAAAAGGCTTTTACCGTTAGACAGAATTAAATACAAATGCGCAACAAAGCGAACCGAGTGGTGCTTGAAGGGTCAAGTATTTATCAAAAGTAGGGAGGATAATTTAATGACCCTTTCCTTAATGCTTTCCACATAAACTCACCGAAATTCTTACCCATAGAAGTAGCTAATTAAATATTATGTTACACAATAGAAAACCGAGCATATTTTCCTAATTAACTTAAATTAAAATTTAGTCAAATTACAAATTACATTCTTCATATTGATCTTTCAGTAATACGTTGATAAATAAATGTGTAGATCGTAGTAATAAAAATGTTTTAATTATGTTTTTGTTGACTCAAAATATACATTTATAATTGTTTTTAGACAATAAATATATAGCTAAAAGGCAGAGTTCAGTTTCAATTAAGGCGGAGCAATACCAAAACCTGCTCTTCCACACAACCGACAAAACTATAACTCTTTTAATATTTAAAATAAAGTATTGATATAAAACAGTAAACTCAAAAATACAAATTTGAGATTAATATTGTCACTGCTCTTTTAAAATATCAAAACGAAGTTTTTGAACATTCTGATATACAGGGTGTTGCTTTTAGAATACAACAATTTATAACATTTTTTTTTAATTCGTATCTGCTTTTTTCTTGTGGATATTAAGAAAAATACTGTGGTTTAGTTATGATCTTTGATAGATATGAGCGCAATTGATAGAAAACCGTGTATCTGTTATTAAATGAAACCGATTAACCATAGGTTTTTTAGGACCATCTTGGTATCTTCCATTTACAGTTATCGTTTGCCTTTTTATCAATGAAACACCCTATATGCATAGACGTAATCCGAGAGTTCAAATGAATATGAAATTTTCTCGTCTTTATATACATATACCGGATGTTCAAATTAAAGTGTTACTGTTAAATACCGCCGAAAATATGCATTTTAGAAAAAAAAAGTTTTAGACAAAAGTTTTATAGTTTTTTGGGGGAAACATTTTGGCTAAATTCATTTTTATATAGCTGACCATAATATGGCCATATCGAGGTGAACTTTGTTTCTTTAAATGGGAATCCCATTTTTTTCTTACATATTAAAGTACATAAAAAAATAAGAAACTTTTGAGGGAAATATTTTTTTTATTGGACGTTTACTTTTTGAGTAACAGCTACTTGAAAATGTTGCTGCGCGAAAAAAAAGTTGGTCATATTATGGTTAACTATAAAAAACGATTTTAGCCAAAAGTTTTTCCCTACAAAACTATAAAACTTTCGTCTGAAACCTTTTTCTTTATAAAAAGCGGTATATAGCTGTAACGCCCGGTATAGCAAGCGCAACAGGCTCTACAGGCCCAAGGCTAAATTTATTTTTCCAATTTTTTTTCTTTCCTTGACAGCTCCTAAAATCTGCAGGTCTTCCTCCACTTGATGCCTCCGGCTAGTTTAGAATTGGTGGTTTAGGACCGCTTTCGTAATTTTATCGTATTGTATTCGAAATATATGATTATTTATCAATCCACCGTATTGTTTTGGGCCTTGATGACTTCTACTATATCTGCATCTTTGTATAGGTCATATAATTCCTTATTTTGTCTTTTATACCAAATCTCATCAATATTTAATGTTCAGATATTCCTCCTTAACATATTTCTTTTCCATATCCCCAGTTTGTTTTCTATATCATTTGTCATTGTTCAGGTTTCATAATTAATGATTACTGTGGATCTTATTACGGTCTTACCTTGATTTTAGCTTTGATAAATACCACTTTGATCTTAGTAGTTTCATGAATTGCCCAGCTTTGATTTCTTCTCCATTTCCCTTCTTTTCAGTATATACAGAAATAAGATAAAAGTTTTCTCTCTATTTCTAGATATCTTCATTAGCTTCATTATCGACTTTATTTTTGTTTCCTCTTTTGTAAGGTTGCCATTTTCATATACTATGTTTCATTTTGGTTGATTTTTAGACCTATCATAATTTGTTTCCTTTGAAAAGGTTTCATTATACTTAAATTAAATCTTTCTCTGTCTGTGTCAATATCGCTTCATCATCCGCATATGCAAAACATTGAGGGCTAAATATAATTAGGAAATATCTATATTATCGATTCCACATAACTCGACATAATAAGAGGATCATAAGAGAATAACACTATGATAAAAACCAGTTTTTACTTTTACTGTAATAATGGTATTTTAGTATTTTGTAGAAAATTTTAGAATAAGATATCACTGAATATATTCTGTTATTAAATAATAATTGGTAATAGTTAATAGTTAAATCGTTTTTCATTTATAAAATCCCATCATCCTATGCAAAAAGACACAAAAAACGATTAGAAGGTTATAGTACTCACCTCATCATATCTGGTAATCGATAAAAGTATGAAAATATGTTGCATGTAGGTACATATATTTAAGGAAAACAGTTACACAGAAATATGGAAATCTGTAAAAAACAGTTTATTTTTTCTTAGCGAAAAAATGTTTATATATCGAAATCTCCCATATAAGTGTGTACAATCCCCACGTGACTCCAAACGCACATCCCAATGCAGTAATCTTAAATAAAAGTCTGTCCCTTGGTGTTTTTAGCCAAACTGGAAGTCCATCATCACATTGGAACCGATCTTGGAGGTGCTTTAGTTTTTTTACTTTGTCGGGGCGGTTTTTGGTGCAACAGTTTCTCTTGATGGTATAGTTTGTTAAATTAAATATATTGTAAGTTAACATTTTCTACAGATTTATCGCCAAAAAAGTATTACAGAAATTTTTGACAATTTAATAATGACTTTTCGTGTGCTTCTTTTTAATTTGTTTGACTTTTGTGTTATTACCTGCTTACTAGAGTATTTACAGCCACTTTTATATGTGGCTGTTGCTTCGTCAATCGACATTACCTCAGAAATGTAAACAGGGCGAGGCACCGAAAACGAAACAGATCGCATATCAAAGTATGTGCAGTCACACTAAAAGCGCCTGTGCGTGATTTTAGCGATGTTGCCAATTGCTTTTTGTTATTTGTTCTAAATAAATATATTCATGGTAATACCGTTCTATAATATTTTTTGTTTATGAATAATATGATAACTGATATTTTTATTTCTATAAATGTGGAGTTGTCAAACATAGTAAAAAAACGTACATAACAGGAATGACAGTGGCTGTTTTTTCAATAGCTCCAGGCCATATGATAAAACCAGAATATAAATGTGTTTATTTGAGACTTTTCATTTCAATTATTCAATTTGAGCTGTGTCCAGGCCGTTGGAGTCTATGCCGGTCGGCGTAGCCAGGTATGAGTTGATGTTTTTTGCTGGCGGCGAAGCCGCCACCCTACGACTTATCGTGGGCAATCACAATTTTCCATTAACTACTAATTTTATCACAATCCGGCAAAGTTGCAATTATATTTTCCAAATTTGACAGAACACATAACAAATTAACAAGCACGAACGAACTGAACAGCTGTCGTTATAATTTCACCTTACTTCACTAGATGGCGCCACAGAAGCAGGTTCATTTGTAGAGCACAAGAAATAGACGCTAGTGTTTTTTAGTTTAGCGTCATTGATACTTCAGGTCTATTAGCGAGTAAAACATAAAAATGGTTTACTCTATTCAAGAGAGAGTAGAAATTGTTGAATGTTATTTAAAAAATAACGAATGTGCTAACACTGCCTGTACAACTTTCAATGAGCGACACCCAAAAAAACAGGTTAAACGTAAGTACGTTTTGGAACTTATTTCAAAATTTCGACAAACAGGATCTGTTCAAAATAAAAAACGGCAGATTCAAAATCCAGTAAGAAACGAAGCCGTAGAGGTAGCCGTTTTAGGACAAGATGTTGCAGATCCAACTCTTAGTACAAGAAAGCTTGCAGAATTATCTGGAGTAAGTGACCGTACCGTCAGGAGAACTTTGAAAGCCAACAAATTCCATCCCTATAAAATTCATTTAGTTCAGAAACTTAACGAAGACGATTTTGATCGCCGCTTGCGAAATCATGAGTGAGCATGCTATACAAGATGCACATTTTCTTTATAACATTTGTTTTTCAGATGAATGCAGTTTTTATGTTAACGGGACTGTCAATCGACATAATTGTCGATACTGGTCAGATTCCAATCCAAGAGTATTTCATGAAAAGCATACTCAACACCCAGAAAAGTTAAACGTTTGGGCTGGAATATTTCACGATCGTATTGTTGGTCCATTATTTTTACCAGGTACTCTATTTTAATTAGGGCTGTGAGTAGCACTTAATAACCTTGACAAAACTTAACTATAGGAAAGGGAAGGAGGGCGCCACCAAACTTACATAAACATATCATTTAAGGTGAATTATAATAGTTTGGCAAATATAATTAATATAACTGATGTTAAAACAAGAATGTATATGTTTATGCAGGCAAGTAACAATTACAATCTACACAAGCCATGATTCATTTAAATTACTTCTTTATTTAATTTCAATGATAAAAAAATGAAACTTATCTCAGAGTAGGAATGGTGTTAGGTCTTCAATCTTTCTTTAAGGGTCGATCAAATAAGGACGGTCTCCTACAGCGATGCGTTTTCTTCTAACCATAAATTAACATGTTTGTTACCATAACTTCAACTATCTTCTCAGCGTATTTTTAAACCATATTTTCAACTATCTTCTCAGCGTATTTTTAAACCATATTTTCAACTATCTTCTCAGCGTATTTTTAAACCATATTTTCAACTATCTTCTCAGCGTATTTTTAAACCATCCAAAGGTTGACTTATCTAAAAGATTGAGACCTTTTTGAAGTTTACGTAATAAGGAAAAATAAGGAATAAGGAGGTAAGATGTTTCTGAACACAGAATGAATAAAAAATAGATCTTTACAGAAATTAATGACACGTTCTAAAACATCTAACCTCACATTTTTAACAACTAAATAAATCCCGATCCATTTCGTTAATCTTTGTAGAAATCTTTACTCACCATAAAATACTGATGGTTGTCACCACTAATAAAAATACCACATATTGTTTAAGATTAATTAAATATTAGCAGATTTAATAATCTCGACTGCCTCCTTTTACAAGTAATACCTGTCGAAAGTCAAATTCACTTTCGATCCGAACATACAACTTAATAAAACCAAAAATAACTATATAAAATATTTGTAGCGACAGAATGAAACTAACGGTCCTAATAGAGATGGGACAATCATTTTAAAAATATAGTTATAAAATATTAAAATAACGGTACTAGAAGAGTAACCGTTACATTATTTGGAATTACTCGAAAACACCGTTGATCCACTGTTAACAGACATAATAGAAAACGATAACCGATACCTTGAAGATCACCTAATATTTCAACAGGACGGGGCTCCCCCACATTTTGCTGCAGCGGTTCGTCAGTACTTTAATGAAAACTTTCCTAGACATTGGATTGGACGAAGAGTATTTATTGAATGGCCCCCACGATCTCCTGATCTGTCCCCCTTAGATTACTATTTATGAGGATATCTGAAAAGTAAAATATACGCCACTCAGCCAGGTTCCTTAGAAGAGTTACGTGAACGTATTATTACCGAATGTCGTCAAATAACTCCAGAAATGCTCCAAAACGTCAGACAAAGATTTGAGAATAATTTATATTCGTGTATGGAAGTTAATGGACAACACTTTGAGCATTTACTTTGAAGTAATTTAGTTTTTAATTATGGGAGTTGTCCTTAATTTTTCAATTTAATTTTTATGTTCACTTTTCTATTATTTTTATTATGAATTGTCTAATAAATGAGTTTTACTTTCAAATGAAGTATCATTATTTAAAATATGGAAATTTTTCCCGCAAGATGGCGCCAAAATCAAAAGTTACGTAATAAACTGTCACACAGTCAAATTCCTTATAAAATTACCTTTTCAATGATGTGTCACACTTAGTACTTTCCCTATTTCAATTTCATTGGTAATAGTAACAGAGGGGTGGGGAGATATGTAGGATAGTTGAGGATATGATCGAAAGAAGTCTCCTTTGAAATAAAAATCGACCTCTTTTTGCATTTTCTCCAAAAAAAAGTGTCTTCAAGATATGCGATCTGTTTCGTTTTCGGTGCCTCACCCTGTATTTGCCACATACTTTGATTACTATACGGTGCAAGATGTTCTAAGGGTGCAAGAGAGACGTCCGACTCGTCAAACATAGGGCGCGGCCATTTTGATGCAATTACTACTAGGTTAGGCAACACATTTTTCCAAAATGTTAAACTGGTAGTCTACATCTTGGTATTTTGAGATTTTAAATGAAGGCAACAAATGTAGAAGAAACGTTTATTTATTTTAAATAATATACAAGAAACTTTTTTGAAGTAAAGTTATAATTGCGAGTGCATCTTGAAATAGAGGTGAGTGGTTTTAAATTAGTTCTAAAGCTGTGCATATGATTTTACCTTAATATTATATTTTTCGCCAGTCCCATGCCCATGAATAAATATTTTATTTTTTTAATGTAATAAAAATCTTTGAGGCTAAACAATCTAATATTATATTTTGCATTTTTCAGCTGGAAATATTGTACGAAACTATAAAATAAAAACAAAGAAATGTAAGATTAAAGAAGCTCTAACTAAAAGGTATTACCAGAGGAATATATTCTTGCAGGCAAGCTGCAACTATTTAAAATATCAAAAGAACGACACTTTTATTTATACCCTCTAAAAGTTCAAGCAAAGAAATGGTGAAAATTCAGGAAAGGAAATCGAATGTAAAAAAAAAAAAATCAAAATATGGTAGTAAACAGGTTTATATAAACTAACCCAAGAATTTTTGGTTGAATATCTACAATTCACTACGGTTTAAATTATGCTCAAGTGATATCTTTAGGATACAAGTAATGCCAAAATTATGAGCCTTAAATAAAAGGACAGGCAGATCCTCTATATTATTTATATGTATATTAATGATTTGAACAAGATCTTAGATAAATGTAAAATCCATCTTTTTACTATTATGGTGAGAATTTTAATGAAGTTGTAAATAATGAATCAAAATACATATTCATAGGTAGATAACAATGTGCTCCATAAGCAGTTTATGAATCTAAAGTTAACTGTTAATGATAAAATAAATAGAATAGGTAAATTAAATATTTAGGGTTTATATTAGATACTGAGTTGAAAGTAAACAGTCACCTAAATTATATTTGTAAAAAGATTGGCAAAAAAATTGATTTCCTCTTGCGTATATCATATCTCTTAGTATCGACTAGGATTACAGTTTATAGTACACTTATTCTATACCATATTTTCATTACTGCTGCTATTTAATATACACAGGATGTTCTAACTCTACTTTTGAGAGGTTACAGCTTTTTCAGAATAAGGCAACAAGAGCTATTTTAGGATGTAGCGGATATACACTATATCATTCAGCTTATGTTGACTACGTTGAACTGGTTGAATATGGGAGAGACAATGACCTTTATTTTTAAAATAGTAAATAATGTATCGAATTGTCAACTTCTATTTCATACATACATCAGTACCATACAAAAGCTGCAAATTCTATTAATTTTTGTGTTATAACAAGTAGAAAGGTAGAGTTCAAATTAATCAGTTACCTCATGATATAAACTTCCTTTAAAAAGCTAAATTATTTTAAGAAAGCAGTAATTAGTTATGTTAAAACTTTCAGCTAAGTCCTCTTGCGTGTTTGTGTTATTTTGTCATCGCTTATTTATTTTAATCTT